CCTATAATATTACATAGGTATTTTTATAATACCTATACGCTAAACAAGTATCGGGTTTTCGCAACGTGCGCGCTATCTGGTGGACTTCAATAGCATTGCGTGAATTTAAGAATTGTCAACAATACATTTAAAGCACAGATTGTACATAATTTTTAAATAAATAGGTAGTTTTTTCACAAAAGAGAGGAAGGCAGATTTTGTTCAATTGCACAGCTAAATCGCGCACGTTATTTGTGTTTTATGTTGCAAGGAAAAAATTAAAAAACTTTATTAGTACTCGATTTTAATTGATTATTCCTTATATTATTGATTAAGAAACTCAACGCTTAAATGCTTATCCCGGACAACATTCGTGATATTCATACGAACATCATTTCGTGATTTTCACATATTTTATTCATACTGATATCATACGGAAGTCACCGCGTGATAAATGAAAATCATACGAACGTCACGTCGTGATTTTCACAAATTTTATTCATACCTACATCATACGGATGTCACTGCGAGAGAAATGAAAATCATGTCGTGATTTTGTATGCCATCGCTGCTTGCGATTGACAAATGGCCTAAAAAATCATGTCGTGATTTTTATGCCAACGGTGTTTGGATAATCATTTTTGCGCCACGTTCTTACACTAAGAGAAAAATTATGTTGAATCAACAGTTTTTGCGGTTAAATACATTTAATATTTTCTTGGATTTAAATGAACTATATATAGTTAATCCAAGAAAATATTGAATGTATTTAACCACAAAAACTGTTGATTCAATATATATGTAGGTATACTTTTTTCTCAATGTACAAATGTGGCGCAAAAATAAATATACAAACACCGATGGCATAAAAAATCACGACATGATTTTTTATGCTGTCGGTGTTTGGGCATAAAAAATCACGACATAATTTTTTATGCCATCGGTGCACCGACATGTTTGGATATTTATTTTTGCGCCACATTTGTACATTGTGAGAAAATGTATGTTAACAATTAAATTAACAGTTTTTGCGGTTAAATACATTTAATATTTTCTTGGATGTAAATTAACTATTAATTTAAATCCAAAAAAATATTGAATATATTTAACCACAAAAACTGTTGATTCATTATACATATATGTAGATATACTTTTTCTCTCAATGTAGGTACGAATAAATATCCAAACACCGATGGCATAAAAAATCATGACATGATTTTTTATGCCATCGGTGCACCGACATGTTCGGATATTTATTTTTGCGCCACATTCGTACATTGAAAGAAAAAGTATGTTAACAATTGAATTAACAGTTTTTGCGGTTAAATACATTTAATATTTTCTTGGATGTAAATTAACTATATGTAGGTATACTTTTTTTCTCAATGTACGAATGTGGCGCAAAAATAAATATCCAAACACCGATGGCATAAAAAATCACGACATGATTTTTTATGCCATCGGTGATTGGATATTCATTTTTGTGACACATTCGTACATTGAAAGAAAAAGTATGTTAACAATTGAATCAACAGTTTAACATTCAATATTTTCTTGGATTTAAATTAATTATATATAGTTAATTTAAATCCAAGAAAATATTAAATGTATTTAACCGCAAAAACTTTTGATTCAACATAACTTTTCTCTTAGTGTACGAACGTGGCGCAAAAATGATTATCCAAACACCGTTGGCATAAAAAATCACGACATGATTGTTTGTGTCATCGCACAGACAGGTATTTAGACCGAAAACATGGCCAAAAATATTTGAGCACTTTTTCTGCCTAAAAAGGGTAGCAAATGACTAAAAAACATATTTCTAAAGGTATACAAGTGATAGTAGGTATTTTTTTATTAAAAATAAAAATGTGTGTGTTCAAAAATTTATTAAAAAAATTACACACTAGCTACTTTACTTATGTGCAATTAACACAATAAAAATATTAAATTAAACATATATTAACCAACTATATATATATATATATATATATATATATATATAATTATAATATATTATTATATATATAATTATAATTAACAATAAACTAAAAATAAATGCATTTATTATTTTATTTTTCATTATTCATCATCACTGTTAGGTATCGTTTTTATGAAAAATTGAAGAGCTTCCTTTGACAAATCCTTCCTATCTTTTTTATTTTTCGGCCTTAAACTGCTCAAATAAGGATCGGAAGTTAAAAGAAGTCGGTTAGCCATGTTATCCAACTTCTTTGAGACAAAATCTTAGATCTGGCAATAAAAATTAACAAAATTGATTTTTGGCCACGTTTTAGGACCAAATAACTGTCTGTGCATCGGTCAATCGCAAACAGCGATGGCTAAAAAATCACGACATGATTTTCATTTCTCACGCAGTGACATCCGCGTATGACGTTCGTATGATTTTCATTTATTACGCGGTGACTTCCGTATGATATCAGTATGAATAAAATTTGTGAAAATCACGACGTGATGTTCGTATGAATATCACAAATGTTGTCCGGGTAGGTTTTAAATTCGCAGTTCGCAGGGCTTATACGCATGCGCAAATTTTGCAAATATCACAGCATGAGTTCTACATGATATCACTGTGATGAAGCATGTGTATGCACTCAGGATATCACAGCGTAATAAAAAATCACGTTGTGATATCATCATGACTTCACCAGGAAATCCCGATTGTTGTCCGGGATATAACGTAATTGTGTGTGTATTTTATCTAAGGGATCATGGTGAATTATTGTGTTTTTAATTGTAAATAAAATTCAAGAACTAAATCGTTGCATTTTCATGTTTTGCCAAAGGATCCAATTCGGTAAGTACATTTGTTGGTGCAGAATTAACTAATGATAACTTTACCTCATATAATTTATATTTTAGTTTGGACATTTTTAAGAAATTGGTAAAAAATAATTTTTGCAGAAACATAACCTTAAAATCAACCATTTTTATATTTGAGTTCTCTAAAAAACGCCGAAAACTGTATTTTAAACAACAACGAATTCATGGCAACATACTATTATATATAATACAGGGTGCGGAAAAAATGTTGCCCCATTTTTAAAGGGTCATTGTTTGGCTCGTGGGGGGATAGAGCAGTGCGCGTGGTTGCTTTAGGTAGGTACGTGCATGCCATTTTCAGTCGTCCTAATGAATCTGTCAGAAATATTTGGGATGTCAATAAAAATCAAACTAAGAAAAAAGCTTTTTATTTTTAGGAAACATATTATTTCATACATTTCATGTTTTAAAAATAATTACCGCCGTTATTGTCAATGCCCATTTGAAGCTTATTACGACAGCTCGTCATTGCTCTGCGCGCCATGTCTTGCAGAATTGCGTTGAGTTCTTGCCTTATTGCTGCCTTTAGATTTTCCAAATTTTATTGACGATGTTTAAAAACTTGTGATTTTAGATACCCCCACAAAAAATCGCAAGAGGTCAAATCAGGCGAACGCGGAGGCCACCCAATATCACCCCACAAAGAGACAACTTTGCACAAACACTTTATTTTAAAAAACCCTAACGTAATTAATGGACCTTTAAAAAATAAAACGCTTTTTCTTAGTTTGATTTTTATTGACATGATGTCAATGACATCCCAAATATTTCTGACAGATTCATTATGACGACTGAAAATGGCATGCACGTAAAGCGACCACGCGCACTGCTCTATCCCCCCCACGAGTCAAGCAATGACGTTTTAAAAACATTTTTGCCACACCCTGTATAATGGTATTTTACCTTTGAGTCGAGACTTTCTTAATCAACGCTTTTAATAATGCTAAATGCTATTTAAATTAGGACGACTTATTTGTTTGACGATTTTTACTGAATTGAAATGTTTACACTTTTCACTACTAAAATTTGTACCTATTTATTGTAGGTATCTAATAGGTACAATTTATATTTACAGAGACTGTATGCAATTTATTTCTTCATTCAGATTAACACTGTCTATTGGAAAACCGGTAAAAACTCAACCCAGGATTTCCTCTCGAAATACACCCAACAACCAGGGGCGTGCTGGGCCGCCGGGACACCGGGAGAAATCCCGGTGGGCCGGTGGTCCGGAGGGCTAAGTGGGCCGGTGTGCCGGAGGGCTATGTAGGAAGCATGCCGTAGCACGTGGTCAATTAAAAACTTTTTTAGTTGAGTTATGTATAAATATCATAATTATTTTACACATACCATGCATGCCAGCCTGCCAGTTTTGTTTCTTTTTTCGAGATTGTATATTGTTTATAAGTTTCCTGAGCGATGATAATTTGTATTAGTTTTTATTTTAAGTACAATGCTATATGTTTTAGCATTGTGTAAAATATTGTCTGGTTGTGTTTGTTGCCTGTTTTTTTTTCAAGAATTTAATTTATACTTTATGTTATAACATATATTAATAAATGTTTGAAATTTTTTAACTTGGTTTTATTCACCCCCCATTTTTCGTGTGTACCTAGTTGGCCGATTTTTCTGAATTTCCCGGGCAGGTCTGATATAGCCAACAAATCGAGACACGTTTTTTTTTCGATATTAATTAACATTTTCCGGATTTATTCTCAAAAACACTTGTTTGTAACATAAGCGTTTGACAGCTGATTATTAAAAGTTGTACTTTTGTTACGATGATAACAGCCGAGTAGTGGCGCTACTTCTTTAGCGTATTGTTTATTACATACATAATATAAATTATAGCCTATAATATATTATTATATTATAATAATTAACAATATATTAATATATTAACCATAATAATACCTATGGCATAGGTATTATTATGGTCCTATGCTGCATAGGTTTTATTATTATACCTAGTAATTTTTATTCGACTTTTAACGTAGAAATTATTGATAACTTATAGGTCACAAGTTAAAAATGTTGTACCATTGATTAATAAGTGTACTTCTTCACTTAACGGTTGTACTCAGTAGTAATTAATGTTCAGTGAACTTTGATAACAAATTTTTCTAATCATACTTAACCTAACCTTACTTTTATAATAAAAAGGTTATTAATCTTACCTTAGTACTTTTTTTAAATTCTAAAAGTTGATTGGCAGCGCTATCCCTGTTTGACATATTCACTAAATTATCACAGTTCTCTGTTAACTTACTATACCACTTTAAGCACTCAAATGATAAACAAATCGTGACCCGTTTGTTTTTATATGGCAGATAATTCATGGTCGTGCGCAAAGGTGTTATTTGGGCGTGCGCTGGGGTATTCTAAAGGAAATATAAAAATAAAAATTATGGGTTATTTTAAAATTGTTTGCCTAAAAAATGTTTGTTTATGAAATAATTATTATTATTAGTATTTAATTAACAAATATACTTACTGATTAACAAAAACGATAAAATGTATTATTAAATAATAAATTTTATAATAAATTTGCCTGACAGTCGACTGTCATGACTTGCAAGTTTTATATACCCAGGCAGGAAGTCTAATAAAACCTAGTAGACTACCCACCTACCCTTATATTCACAATCACGAACTAGGTATACAGGTTGCGATGAAAGTTCCCGGAATTAGGTAGGTATTTATTAAATTTTTATTAACGGTAAATTTAGGGTTAACACTAAATAATATATCTTCTATAGAATATTATTATTCTTAATAGAATTTTAACTAAATGGTTACTCAGACCGCAAAATCACATTCCCTGCACATGTCCTGGAATATTCCCAGGAATATTCCAAGCGTCCAAGAATATTCCCAGGAATATTCCTGGCATAATCAAATGTCCGCTTTTTGGTTAACCCAGGCATCATAAAAATAATATTCCATATATCTGCCTGCAGAAGACTCTAGGATTGTTAGGGGAATATTCCTTGATATAATTTGGGGATTATTCCCAGCCCTTATTGCCTCTTATACCCAGGAACTTAACTTAAGTATAGCCATTATTGAGTCACTGGGTAGATCAGTCCCACTTTAATCATTGTTTAGCTGTGCCATCACAGACGCACATCTCCAACTGATATTATTATAATAAGGTTATAACCTATCGGTATATATAGTTATCAAGCGTGCGTGAGCAACGGTGAGAGGTATTGCAACTAAACTAATGAATATTCACTGGGAATGTTCTTAGATGATGCTTGGAAGTTTTAGAGGATAATTCTAGGAATATTCCCAATGAATATTCCTAGAATGAAGCGGATTATTCCTAGGCGATAGAGAATATTCCTGGAATATTTTCGAACCTTCAGTGCAGTCTGGGTAAACCAGGGATTCCCAAACTTATTCACTTTGCGGAGCACTTACAGGTTTGATTTATTTGATTTATTGCACTTACAGGTTTGATTTATTGCCGTACGTACGGCGTACGGCGCCCCAAACAATTTTATTTGAAAAAAAAACAAGGAAATACAAATAAAGCATTAAATATTTTGTTTTTCTGATTGGACGACGGGAGCCTCGCGACGCCCCTGGGCTGCATTCACGGCACCCAAGGGCGTCGCGCCGCACACTTTGGGAAGCTCTGGGTTAAACCATGCATACATAGAGAAACAAATTTTCTCTATGGACTAAACCATTCTTTGGTCTAAACGATATGGAGCCTGGGCTAAACCATAAGAAAGAAATCTGACTTGACAAAACTATTTTGTATGTATTATGTAGGTATGTCGTGCAATCAGTGGCGGCCACAAAACTAGTTTTGTGGTGGCGGGTCTACTACCTAAGGTTTGCACTACCCCAAAAAAAGACCCAAAAATGAAAAAATAAAATATGATTATAATTTTTGACAGGAAACCGGACCGGAACCGGTATTTATTTGTGAACAGGGACCGTAACCGAACACATATTATTTTTAGATGTAACTCTAAAGACCTTTAAATTTAATTAAATTTAAACCGGTTTTTTAGGTTACTTTCGGTTTGCAAAAATTTAAAAAAATCTATAAAATTAGTTTTTGCAAAAAAATATTTGTGCACAGGCTATAAATCTATGATTATATAAATTATACACTTTAGCACAAGTATTGTTAGGGGTTGCTGCAACACAAGTTAGCGTTGATAGGTTGTTTTCTTTTCTCAAATTTTTACTTCCCCCAACAAGATAAAACATAAAAGAAAAAAATTTAGAGGAACAATTATTTGTAAGAAACAACAGAATATTTGGAGAAAAAGAAGAACAAAAGCTGTAAGTTCAGTTTTTTATTTTTATATGTGTAGGAGAGATCCCCGCGGGGATCCCGAGACATTGGACAATTTTTAGATTTTTTTGCCTGGGTCTCGTAAAAATTTAATTATTTCTAATTTTAAAGTTTCAGGTAATAGTGTTGACTTTTGAAAAAAAAGAGATAAATTTATCTCTTTGCGTTTTCAAAAGTCTACCCGGTCAACATTGTAACGTAACATTAAGCAAAATGTTATGTAACGATTGTGAAGTGTAACATTACAGTTACATAACCTGAAGGTTGCAAATAGGTCCCTATTTCCTTATTGAAGTAACATTGTTACATAACAATGTTCCATTGCCATTATGAAAGTGAAACATAACTGTAACGTAACATTAACCAAAATGTTATGCAACGATCGTAATATTTAACATTACAGTTACATAACCTGACGGTTGCAAATAGGTTCCTATTTCCTGCTTTTTTAAGTAACATTGTTACATAACAATGTTACGTTGTCGTTACATAAATACATTATAATTGTTATATAACTTTTTAATGGATTACAATGTTACATTGCCGTTATGAAAGTGAAACATAACTGTAACGTAACATTAACGAAAATGTTATGCAACAATCGTAATATGTAACATTACAGTTACATAACCTGATGGTTGCAAATAGGTAACAATGTTACGTTTCCGTTACTTTTTCGCAATCCAAGTTATGTTACATAACATGGCCTTTACGGTTATGTAACATTGTTACGTTGCAGCGTTATTATGCTCGACATGAGAAAGTCCCGTCAGTTTAACGCTAAAGCGTATCAAATGATACATAATATCGTATTCTGACTTTCCCAAAATCAGGCAGACTGTCCAATGAGAAATGGACATCATAGAAAAAGTATGGACATGGTGCGCTGTCTTAACTTCGTTTATATACCTAGCCGATGTGGTAATTAGGGTTGGGAAAATTTCACTTTTTGCTTGTACTTGAAATTTCACTTGAAATTTTCATGACATTTATGAAATTTATTAAAATTTCCTAAATATCTGAAATTTCATGAAATTTATTGAAACTATATAACTCAATAAATTTCAATCACTTTAAGTGTAATATATTAATTTTGAAATAAGCCCACTCGGGGACCATGGCAAATTGCCTCTCTTAGCTCCTACCCCTCTGTGGGCCCCTGCACCAATAATATAAATAGTAAATACCTATGTTTACCACAAATTTCTTGAGATTTCCTTTTAAAATATATTTAAAATTACTAAAACTAAAAGAAATATAGAACTTTTTGGTAAGCTAATGAGATTGTGCCACTTTCATTGTTTTATATTTATTTTTATATATTTTAATGAAATTTTACGAAAATTTAAGAAACCATCAAAATTTTATGAGCCAAAGGCATTTTTTATCCGTTTTCCGATGCAATTATAGCAAAAGTAAAAGTTTAAATTAATCATGACTCTTAAAAAAATTTTAAAGTCTGATTTAATTTACAAATTAAATTGGTAACTGAATTAAATTATTTAAATTAATTTATGCATATAAGTAACAATAATTACTTATAGTGTATTCAAATCCAAGCCGAACTAAACAAAAACGCCCAGACGCTTGATAACTCGTTCTTATTGGTCGATTCGGAATCTGTTGTAAATTATTATTAAAGGTCCCAGGAGAGGCCGCATGTGAAATTTATGCGAAATTTTCAGTAAATTGCGAAACTTTCGGATTGAAAATTTCATTTGAAATTTTTAAAAATTTCACTTTTCCAACTAAATGAAATATTTCAAGTTTGAAACTTTCAAAGTTGAAATTTTCATTTGAAAATTTCAACTGTCCCAACCCTAGTGGTAATACGAGCGAGATGTAAATGATGTGTTTAAGTATAAGTTTGTTAACAACGTAATTACGTAACATAAAAAAAGAAAGACGGAGGGGAAGGCCCCAGTTGGCAAAAGGAGCCAGGAGGTGCTTTCTATGAGTTCAATAAGTAATTGGTCAGGAGGCAGGGGCCACCCGGGGAGCTCAGCTCATGATACGGTGTAAAGCATCGTCAATGGTGAAGCAAGTTCCCTGCTTAAAATACACCATAGAGACCTATATAAAATAATCTATCGGGCGCTACCGGATTCAATATGTGCATTTGTCCATGTTTTTTTCCGGATACGGCCCGATAGAAAATTTATAGGAAATTATTATAGGCACACCATAACTTTTACATTTTCCCTATTGAGACAGATAGCAAATAACTCAATGAAGTATATATAGGGATATCCCTATAGAACAACCATAAAACATTTGACAAAATTTTATTAAAACCTATGGGTTTCTATGGGGGAAAAACTAATTTCTACATTTATGTGTATTTTTCCCATAGAAACCAATAGCAAATAAATCAAGGGTGGATATATCCCTATAGAACAACCATAAATCCCAACTATGGGTCCTATACATACCGATACACCCTATATAGAAACACCATACATTCCGATACAAATATCTATCGGTTTGAACAGGGTCTTTATGGGGTATTTTAAGCAGGGTTTCCCTGCTTAAAATACCCCATAGAGACCTATACAAAATAATCTATCGGGAGCTACCGGATTCAATATGTGCATTTGTCCATGTTTTTTTCCGGATACGGCCCGATAGAAAATGTATAGGAAATTACCTATAGGCACACCATAACTTTTACATTTTCCCTATTGAGACCGATAGAAAATAACTCAATGAAGGATATATAGGGATATCCCTATAGAGATACCATAAAACATTGGACAAAATTTTATTAAAACCTATGGGGTCCTATGGGGGAAAACTAATTTCTACATTAATGTGTATTTTCCCCATTGAAACCATTAGCAAATAAATCAAGGGTGGATATCCCTATAGAACAACCATAAATCGCCACTATGGGTCCTATACATACCGATACACCCTATAGAAACACCATACATTCCTATACAAATATCTATCGGTTTGAACAGGGTCTCTATGGGGTATTTTAAGCAGGGTTGGCAATTCGGGTCGTCTATGCTTCCCACCAAGTG